AACCATAGTCGTTCGTGCTGGAGATGTAGGAATCCATCTCAAACTTCCTGAGCTTTAAGGTGAGTGAACAAAATACAGCCAGAGGCTGCTAGGAAGCGAGGACGCCAAGACTTCATCGCATGTACATCGCATGGTATCAGGAGGGCAAGTCCCTCGGGAAGGCCATTGCGTCTGGTAGAGAGTTGGGGGGAAAGAGGAAGACGTTCCCCAAGAAGGAGCAACATGGCTGTTGCAACAATGAGTTCAAACACAGTAACGACTGCTGCCGACACAGGACTGGGTAAGCTTTCGTTCTGTTGGACCAGATGTCGTTAAGACTTGACCCAACTGCCCCCGAGAGTGACCACAGCAAGGTGATTGAGGCTCGCAAGAAGACAGACTCCGGTTACTTAGGATGTCAGGCATGTTTGATGGATGCTTACAAATCGTACAAGAATCCCGATTTTCCCCTTCCATGACAATTTTATGCATGTGTGCGGGGGCTTCTCAATCAGAGGTTAAAATCCCACTGTTTTGCAAAAGTTAAAAAAAAATTGTTAAATCAGTCTTCCTTGTACTAACAATTCAATAGGAGCTAAAGTTCCTAAATTAAGATGCCGAGCGTGTAGGAAACGCCAGCACGGCTGGGCTGAGGCTGGGTTCTCTGGAGAAGCAACACCAGTGATGCTGACAGAAAGAGATCTGTATCAAGAAAACAGCTCACACTGCTGTTGAAGGAAAGGGTAAAGTTCAAGTCTGGGCAGTTACCAAGTCAGTGGGTTAAATGTTAGACCGGAGACGTCTCCTGACCCAGGGAGCTTCAGGGACTGAGGAACCCAAGACAGGTGGGAAAGCAACAGGCCAGTGACTCCAGAGGTGACTGCATCCAAGGTTGGCAGGTCCGATGGCAGACCACTGAAGACGTCCCGCGTAGGCAGGCAATATGGTAGGCCATTGGCTCAAGTGGACGCCAGAGGCAGGATCCAGACACAGCAAGAAATAAGCAAGCTTTCACGGAGCATCTACTTATATAGAAAATAGGCCACGCCCCTCAGGAAACCGCCTCCAAGTTGCACCTTAATCTTACAACGGCTTGACTGCTCAGGGCGGATCCCTCAGGGGGTTGATCACTTCACTTGTTAGGTCACATCATGGAGGAGTACCAGAACACTGAGAATCTTGGCCTATCTAAGCTGACACAAGGTAAGGTGACCAGATTTTTAACATTGGTAAAGCGGGACAAAAGCGGGACACCATTGATACAACTCATCTCCTGGCGAAATAGCCACATGGCAGCCGAAAACCGTCTACCCTAGCTTGTTGTGCATTCTTTCCAAAAATCGGGACTTTTTAAAAACGCCGCGGGACGTGGGGAAAAATTGTCAAAAATCCGGACTGTCCCGCCAGAAGCGGGACATCTGGTCACCTTACACAAGACTCAATGATAGCACAGCCTAAGCAGGCAAGGAGTGGCAATCTGTCTCAATGCTGCCAACTTCTGTCTCAGCTGTGTCTCCTCCAATACCTCTCCATCCTGTGGTCCTCAGTCACTCTCCCCAGAAAAGATGCCGGTAGCAACCTGGCCTCTGTCCAGAGAGGACGAGGTAAGAAAACTGAGCTCTACGGGGCACAGGTAGCAGAAAAGACTGCCACTGTTTCCTTTTGGTCACTCACTCATTCCAAAAAGACGTATTATGTGAGACGTTAGGCGCAGAGCTGAAGATGTAAGGATGAACAAGATTGATGATGAATTCCACGCCGTCTCGAGAAGGGAGCCTCCTGAAAGAGGCAGCTACGTATATAACCAAGTCCCTTAGCTTAACAAAATAACTCTTTGTTTCCGTAGCAAATCTACACATATTACTCAAGATTCAAGAACTACAGAGAAGTGTATTGTGAAATTCGTCTTACACACTAGCCCTAAGTGCCTCAGTTCCCCTCTTTGGAAACCAGGACTTCTAGTTCCTAAAAGAATTTCTGCAGCCTGATCAGGGTGATCATTTGAGAAGTGATATAGTTTAAGTTTATTGTGCCAACCTGGCCGATAAATACATGTGGGGTTCATTGAAGGGTGGAGAGATAAATGGCTCGGTGAGCCTTGCCTTTCCAGTTTTCAGGTCTCTTGTTTTGTGGTGGTCGGACCAGGGTGCAGCTGCCTTAGCCAGTTCCCTGCTTCAGCTGGC